CACACCTGAACACAACCACACCTGAACACAAACACACCTGAACACAAACACACCTGACCACAAACACACCTGAACACAACCACACCTGAACACAACCACACCTGAACACAAACACACCTGAACACAAACACACCTGACCACAAACACACCTGAACACAACCACACCTGAACACAACCACACCTGAACACAAACACACCTGAACACAAACACACCTGACCACAAACACACCTGAACACAACCACACCTGAACACAACCACACCTGAACACAAACACACCTGAACACAAACACACCTGACCACAAACACACCTGAACACAACCACACCTGAACACAACCACACCTGAACACAAACACACCTGAACACAAACACACCTGACCACAAACACACCTGAACACAACCACACCTGAACACAACCACACCTGAACACAAACACACCTGAACACAAACACACCTGACCACAAACACACCTGAACACAACCACACCTGAACACAACCACACCTGAACACAAACACACCTGAACACAAACACACCTGACCACAAACACACCTGAACACAACCACACCTGAACACAACCACACCTGAACACAAACACACCTGAACACAAACACACCTGACCACAAACACACCTGAACACAACCACACCTGAACACAACCACACCTGAACACAAACACACCTGACCACAACACACCTGACCACAAACACACCTGAACACAACCACACCTGAACACAACCACACCTGAACACAACCACACCTGAACACAAACACACCTGACCACAACATACCTGAACACAAACACACCTGAACACAAACACACCTGACCACAACACACCTGACCACAAACACACAAACCACACCTGACCACAACACACTGAACACAACACACCTGAACACAAACACAACTGACAACAACACACCTGACCACAAACACACAATCCACACCTGACCACAAACTGTACCTGCAACATGAGTCTGAGGGGGAGGAAACTTGTGCTGAGCTGCTAACATAAGGATATTTCATTTCTTTATTTTTATTACAATCAATACAACTTATTTATTTATTCTCTGATATTTTGAAACAAAATAAAGAATGAGGCCTCACACAGCCAAAATTAAATAATCTTCACTTTTGATTGATTTGATTGATTTATCCAAGATTGGACAAAATCTAGGCTTAATCCTTGATCTTAGTCTCCTGCAGCGGGCCTCAGGTGYTCACTTCTGAAACACTAACATCACTCACTGAACCAACGTAAAAACATTTGATATTTTATATAAAACTTGATTTGTTCCAAGTTTAAATCAGTTTCAGACATGATGCTGCCACAGAAAAACTAAAACTCAGGACTTTTAGATTAAAGCAGCAAAAAGAAGCAACTGAAACTCTGATTATATGCGGAGAAGCTGATTAAAGCAGGTGTGTTCATTAGAGAGCAAGTGTGTTAATTTGTAACTGAGAGCAGGTGTGTTAGAGAACAGGTGTGTTTGTTAGTATCTGACTGCAGGTGTGTTAATTAAAGAGCAAGCGTGTTAATTAGTAACTGAGTGCAGGTGTGTTAATTAGTAACTGAGTGCAGGTGTGTTAATTAGTAACTGAGCGCCGGTGTGTTAATTAGTAACTGAGTGCCGGTGTGTTAATTAGTATCTGACTGCAGGTGTGTTAATTAAAGAGCAGGTGTGTTANGGTGTGTTAATTAGTATCTGACTGCAGGTGTGTTAATTAAAGAGCAGGTGTGTTAATTAGTAACTGAGAGCAGGTGTGTTAATTAGTAACTGAGAGCAGGTGTTTTAGAGAACAGGTGTGATTAGTATCTGACTGCAGGTGTGTTAATTAAAGAGCAGGTGTGTTAATTAGTAACTGAGTGCAGGTGTGTTAATTAGTAACTGAGTGCAGGTGTGTTAATTAGTAACTGAGAGCCGGTGTGTTAATTAGCAACAGAGTGCAGGTGTGTTAAATAATAACTGAGAACCAGTGTGTTAATTAGTAACAGAGCAGGTGTGTTAATAAGTAACTGAGTGCAGGTGTTTTAAGTTGTAACTGAGAGCAGGTGTGTTAATAACTAATTGAGAGCAGGTGGTTTAGTTAGTAACTGAGAGCAGGCGTTTTAAGTTGTAACTGAGTGCAGGTGTTTTAATTACTAATTGAGAGCAGGTGTGTTAATTAGTAACTGAGAGCAGGTGTGTAAATTACAAACTGAGTGCAGGTGTTTTAATTAGTAACTGAGTGCAGGTGTTTTAATTAGTAACAGAATGTAGGTGTATTAATTAATAACTGAGTGCAGGTGTGTTAATTATTAACTGAGTGCAGGTGTTAATTAGTAACAGAGCCGGTGTGTTAATTAGTAACAGAGTGCAGGTGTGTTAATTAATAACTCAGAACAGGTGTGTTAATTAGTAACTGAGAGCAGGTGTGTTAATATGTAACTGAGTGCAGGTGTGTTAATTAGTAACTGAGTGCAGGTGTGTTTATTTGTAACTGAGAGTCGGTGTGTTAAGTAACTGGGAGCGGGTGTATTAATAATAAATTGAGAGCAGGTGTTTTAATTRGTAACTGAGAGCAGGTGTTTTAAGTTGTAACTAAGTGCAGGTGT